TACGGGTTTACGGTTTTTATTAAGTGCAAACAAGTCACAAACTTTGAGTTTTCACAAAAGCATTTCGGACCAGAGATTTCACTTTGTTTCTAAACTTAAGTTTAAAATCTGGGTTAAGGCTTTTGAGGGTAGGATCATTGTGACTTTAGCGCGGTTATTGTGGTCTTAATTAGAAATAGTTGGTCGGCTATGGATGTTTGGATTTTTCTGCGAGTTACTAGTATGTTACTGTTAGGTTAACACTTTGTGTATCTAACAAGCCTAGACAAAAATCAAACAAATGCAAGGTATATAACTAATGTGTAGAAATCTCAGGTATCCTAGTTACTTAGAAAAAGTCGGCTAGATGATTGATATGTATATAGCTACCTGCCTGAACATAAAATCACTTTATTGGGGAAAGGCAAATATCCTTCAGTTAGTTATACACAATACTACATGTATATACATATACAACATCTAGACAGCATATAGAAAACGACAAGTCCATTATATTCTGTATCGGTATAGCCGGTACAACTGCCATTCGGCGTAACACACCAATTTTGCAGCTAGACATTGTTTAAACCTATCTTATGATAATGCCCCTACAGTACTTAATGACAGCGAGTTCCAGCGATAGCTCTAGGAAAGAATGAATTCTTGAACACCTCAATCATTGGTTTATAACTCTGGTACTTGAAGGCATTGCTATTTCTTGTTGTTTTCTGGGCTGGTATATTTTGTCCATTATAAACCTAGATACACACAATAGAGTATGGTTAAAGTATTAGAGGATTTGAGGTATATGGGGCATAATGAGGGCGCAATATCCTGTCGCCTATCAACCAGACACAACAAAATAGTAGTCAGACAGGTTATGGTATTATAAGATTTAGGCTCTTTGTTGATGATGTGTAGTAATTACATATGATGACAAGCGTTCTTTGTTGTAAGGATAAAACATCGAGGCTAGGTAGAAATTCAAAGGTCGAAGCATAAGTTTTAAGTATTAAATATTTATTCAATAGTAACTATGGGAATAACATTGATGGTAGTACGAAATATTGCTACAAGATTTGGCTTCATTGTTGATAATACATATAATAGTAATTGCATATAATGACAAGAGTTTTTGTATGGGTTGAAGGATCTAGAATGATCGAAAATTGAAAGGTTGAATCAGAAGTTGTCAAGTTTTCTATGCAGTAGCATTAGATATTTATTAGGTACAGTGACATTGAAAATGGCATTGATTGTAGTAAGGGGTATTGTCAATGGCTGATTACCTTGTCTAGGTTTTACTGTAGTGATTTCATATTTCTGTGACCGAAAACGTCAAAGGGATAGACATTGAACCTCCACGTTGAAATTACGCAAAAGTTACTCATGCAACTAGATAGATTTTGAAAAAAACTGTCGATATTTCAAGTAACTACTTCTTGTGTATCTCATTATCTGGATGTCTAAACTACACGGGTTGAAAATAGTCGTCTACAAGGTGCAATGTTTCAATAGTATCACTTTTAGGTCGGAAAACATGTAGAAAATCCACAACTTTGCTTGAAGCACAGGAGGTCCTGTGAAAACTATTTTCTTAGCTCTATAATAAGTGGAGCGCGTGTCTTAAAGAGGGGCACTCAAGGGTCGGAGGTCGGTCCTTAAAGATCCTTCAGTAGACTCTTGAAGAAATCAAACGTCTGCGCAATACGTCACTGTTGCATAAGAAATTTTCTTAACTATTAAAGTAATAAGAGAAGTTAATTTTCAGCAAATCTGCACTTCATGTGTTCGATGCTTTGTTTAAGGCCCTGTCACCAGGCCTTTCTATGGGGATTATGAAAGCATGTAGTAAATTGTAGCAAAATACAGTCAGAAAATTGTAACACATTGGGAAAATTTGCAAAAAAAACTGTATGGTGGCCAAACTCCCCTAACAAATTATTCTCTCAATTTGTATGAATTTCACTACATACGCGTTGTAAGTCAGTTGGTTTTTGTAAAGACATGTGATTCTATGCTTTGATAGCGTCCACCAGGCCTTCCTAAGGGATTATAAATAATAGGATTCGGCAAAAATATGTACGGTCAAAACTAAGCCATAGTAAGAGTAACATTTTTGGCAAATTGACCCTATGGTGGCCAAACTCTCCTGGCCAATTACTCTTTTCATTAGCTGAATTTGACTACATGTTCAGCCCTCGTTGTCACCCAGTTGGAGACTACCTTTGTCTTACCTGAGCGCTATTGAAGTGGTTTGAATAAGAAGTATTTGAAATTGTTCGGCGCGCACGTCACTGGACCAAAGGGGCCTCATGGCTCATAAAAAACGGAGTATAGAGTTACGGACTGAGCGGCGGCTTGGTCAATGGACGGGGTAACTTTAGACCCTGTTGTTCTTTTCACTTTCATCGCAAAGGTGTTAGTCTACGCCGGGGGGGAAAGTGTGGTAATCTCCGTAAAAATTAGCTGATAATAGATCAGAAAAAACATCATTAATCTGGTAACATGGGGTTGAATTTTTACCAACTGTTGCTGATATACCTTACCCCACTACAAGAAGTTTCAATACAGTAGCAAACAACTTTAAAAAACTGTTACGTATTGTTTTGTGTAAAGAAAACATTACTAGAACAATATTATTAGAACAAGTGCAAACGTGTATATAGAAAAACATCTCCGTGAATAGTGCAAGAGGTTGGAGAGTCACTGATTGAAACACTTGCTTCTGTAAAAAGCTTCGTTATTCAAACATTATGTACTTTATTTTACAAGTAGTCAAAGCTTGAAAGTTAAATGAGATACGTTGTACCTAATGTCAAAAATATTACAAATGAGGTTCAGAGAGGTTCTTTGCCTTTACAAATATTACTACAGACTTTTGTTTATTCCTAACACGACTGTGTTCGTCAACGGCTTTTTTTATTCTTAACAGTGTATAGAGAACAGAAGTCTACACAACAGAGGTACACACAAGACTTATCATCATATTTGTATATACTTGTACCAGTGAGAAACAGATTGCATCTTCTATAACAGCCCTCGAGGATTGTTACAGTTCCCATACTTTACATATTGCTCTGAGTCAAGACGCATGAAGAATTTGATGTGTGACCGGACCCTAAATGTTGTGTCCTGGTTTCGGGGCGAACGTTGGCAGGTTTTAATCACGTAAAGTGTTGGTTCAGGCGAGGGTAAACACGTCGGGTTACCGCTTTGTGCAGCAGAAACAAACACAGCACGAGCTAATCGATGTCGTACAAACACAGGCAGCTTAAGTACCGTCTTTGTTAAGCACCTAATCTCCAAGCAGATATTTGATTAGATCTGATTTTGTGCTAGTTTTCTCGCACTCTTATGGGTGCTTTTAAGTTGTGTTTTTTAACCACTGACGGCTTCATAACGCCATTCCTCTGTGTAAAATATAGAAATGACAAGAAACAACATCTACTGTCAACATAATCTCTAAGTAAATTTTGTTGTTTCGGCTCGTTTTGTATGTGTTTTTCTTTCTACTTAAATGCGTACGTCTCTCAAGGAAGACATGTAATTTTAAATTCATGGTATGGTTAAAAGGTATTAATTCCAAGATATACTCATACCAAATGGGTTAATAACACCTAGCCGAGACCAAACTTGGAGAAAAAAGTTTTAAGATAACGTGTTAAAATAATATTTGCTTTGAACGATTTTACTGGTTCTCTTTGTCTCTCAAGTAAGGCTAGTTATTTTATGGTATCAGTCATAGTCTTCAATACGGTATAAAAAAAAAACAATACCAAAGGATGTAAAAAAAGTAACTGGACAAAATTACACTGTCCGAAGAGTGAGGTCAAAGACTTGAATAATACTGTATATTTCTTTAAGCAGCGTGATTAGTTAGAGGGATCCTGGGTCCTATATACTAGGGTTTGGGTTGGCGTTAGAAAGAGCATCCAGCCGTAAAAATATTGCTTCAAAAAAAGACTTGTACCTGGTGCAAGCACGTCTAACCCCCGATTGGGGAAAAATGACGTTAAATTTGGTTTTAAAAAAAAGCGTGAACATAATATTGTCGACGTTGCTAAGTCCCTACCACAGCAAAGACAGATGTTGACGAACTTTTAATTCTGTCTGAAAGGCCTTTTGTAAAGCAGTCAAACAAAACGACCAACGCGAGTTAGTTTTCCACATTGTCACATGCACTTGCACCTGAATTCCTATCAATTCCTCTCTTATAATGGCGTAGAAATATAAACCCTTACGGGAGACGTACATATATGTACGGCCGGATTGCTTCTATATGCTTGATAACTTTTCAATGACGGTCCTATTAAAGAGACTCTCGCTTCGAGTGCTCCCAAACGTGGCGTATTGATCTGAAATTGAATGGGGGAAAGTAAACATTCCCCGGCGCCGGGATACGCTCGACTTGATGAGTACTAAGGCCGCGTGCATGCCTGATTGCGCGTATAAAGAACAGGGATAGCATATCAGTAAGGTTAGACTGCGAGTTTTCTAAACACATCGCAGATGAATGTGTGTTAGGTAACGACATATGTCTGGGTATTATAAGACACTGTAGTGGGAGGTGCAGACGTGGTTTACACAGTAGGATCAGCAGAAACATTGGCGTGTGCGCTGCATCTGTTAACGGGTTAGCGCTCTAAAGGTAACTGTTTTTGTCGTTCTGTCGTCTTATGGAGTATGTGATGTGTAGATTGTGACAGTGCAAGCAGTTAGATGTGCAAGAGATGGGTGTAATAGGTCGTTTGGTGCAATGTAGTCAGCTGCCGCCACGCCGCATGTTGGTGTGTTTAATTGTGCCAAAGGGGTGGCTATAATGTCCATGCAGATACATAATCTGGTGTGTTAAGCCGAATTAGGGTCGTTATAATGTGTATACAGAAGCTGGTGTGATATTCTATACACACTGCAGCTGAATGTGTGTTAGGTAATGACATATGTCTGGGTATTACGAGACACTGTAGTGGGAGGTGCAGACGTGGTTTACACAGTAGGCCCAGCAGAAACATTGGCGTGTGCGCTGCATCTGTTAGCGGGTTAACGCTGTAAAGGTAACTGTTTTTGTCCTTCTGTGGTCTTGTGGAGTATGTGATGTGTAGATTGTGAGATTGCATGCAGTTAAATGTGGAAAATGTTGGTGTAACAGGTCGTTTGGTGCAATGTAGCCAGCTGCCGCCGCGCCGCGTGTTGGTGTGTTACGCCGAGGAGCGGCTATATTGTCTATACAGATACAGGAGCTGGTGTGTTAAGCCGAATTAAGGGTCGTTATAATGTTTATACAGAAGCTGGTGTGATATTCTATGCACACTGCAGCTGAATGTGTGTTAGGTAATGACATATGTCTGGGTATTATAAGACACTGTAGTGGGAGGTGCAGATGTGGTTTACACATACGTACAGTAGGCTTAGTAGAAACACAGGCGTGTGCGCCGCATCTGTTAGCGGGTTTACGCTGTAAAGGTAACTGTTTTTGTACTTCTGTAGTCTTATGGAGTATGTGATGTGTAGATTGTGACAGTGTATGCAGTTAGGTGTGCAAATGTGGGTGTAACAAGTCGTTCAGTGCAATGTAACCAGCTGCTGCTGCGCCGCAAGTCAGTGGTGTGTTACGCCGAGGGGCGGCTATATTGTCTACTAGTATACAGATACAGACGCTGGTGTGTTAAGCCGAATTAAGGGTGGTTATACCGGCTATACAGATACAGATGCTGCAAACGGTATATGATTTCCTATAGATCCTCAAACGACTACAGCCGACTCCAGAAAAATGCATATTTCTTAATCTAGTTCAGAGCAGGGCCCATCGGCAATATCGGCATTAGGGCTAAGAAATCTGTTAACGCTTTTCAAGGTAACTGATATTGTCTTTCTGCTGTCAATTGACATGCATGCTGTGCTGCCAATTATGTACATTTAAACTTGTACAAGTGGCCAACTCTAACCACCTGGCCAATATGACCCATTTTTGGTGGCCCCTCAGTAGTACATAATTTTCCCATTGAAAGAAGGGTGATACGGAATACACTGTGTTGTGTTCTCTGTGTTATATACATGATGTGACGTTGGTATGGTATCGGCGGAATCATTGCAAACGCACAGCTCCGTTTGCCCGTAGGTGTCATGAGATGTTTACTGCACTATTTACCAAACCTCCCGACCGTGAAGGTTTTTTAAACCATGGGAGGTAAAACCAACTAGCCTGTCCATGCCTCTGTTTGCGCGTTTTTATGTACATGTCTTGTGACCAAAATTCAATATTTTTTTTGTATTGTTATGTCATAACGAAAAGCTACCATTGCTAACATGTTCTCTATTCCATCAATTGCCCTACTAAGGTGCATGGCTAATTTTAAGTACAGTCTTTTGAACTAAGATGGTGGGGTTCTTTAAGGCATCCGATGCAATTCTAAGCAGGCAAAACAGAAAATAATCTGGATGAGAAAATCTGTATGATATCGTCATTTACTGTCATTTCTTAGCACATTTTCGTCATCATGTTATACCTGGAGTGTTTAATGGTTTTGAGGATATATATTTTCATCAACCTTCTCTCTGCCAAATTGTCAATAAATGTGAATACAATAGAATATATAAAACAAACTTACAAATATATCAATATAACAAACAATATTCTATGTTTTTTTTTTTTTTAGATGATCTAAAAATCGGCAAAATGAGGTCAGCACCGAGTCCTGTAGGTGCCGTCCGGGCGCCTTGCCCCACCCCTGCCACCCCCTACCGCATAGAGAGGCGAATGGGATCGTCCAACGCCAAGTCTCGCGAGAGGATGTCTCGCAACCAGCGAGAGTTGAGCTCGGTGGAGATTATGGCCATCAGCGAAAGGGAAACATTCGAGGGATTGGTCGACATCAGCGGAAAGCAAATTCACGTCGAAAAACAACAGAATAAGAAAAGAAACGGGCAAAACAGTAAGGGAACTTATCTTGTCCTCAAGTTGCCTGCGGTTACCATGGTGTCAGACGACAATTCGAAACCGCTCATGATGGCAAAGAATGACGGGAAGGGAGAAAAAGAGCGGTCGTCTTTACCGTATGTTCGTCACTCCGAAATCAAAGGGAATGTGGTCACGCCGAAAGTTTCTAAACCGATTCAAACCTTCATTTTGCCGGATTTGGATAGCAGTAAGGAGAGAAACGAGATGGCACAATTGGGTCTTTTCGGTGATGGCAAGAAACGGGTAGACATTTCTGAACATGGAGAAAAAGAAGCAGATCGCAGGAAGAGCCAACCTGTTGGGAAAATCAGGCTGTGGAAGGAAGTGAAAAAGAAAGACGAGACACGACAGCCAACAGACAAAAAGCAAACCGGAAAGCGATCCAAGAACGAACAGAAGTGGGAGTGGTCGCCAAGAGGAGGGAAGGTCTTTCCCGAGATCCAACGCTCTGTGACGGTTGAACTGAACGGTCGGTTGAGTAGAATCAACATGGAGGAAACTTTGCCCCAAACAGACTCAAAGAACAGAGGAGCCAAAGCACAGCTTAGTCCCGAAACCTCGTTCGATTCGGTCCCGAACAGGTCCAGAAAAAGTTCCACAAAGTCTCAAACAGAGGATTCAGAGACGAAAGGTGGAAGTAGTGGTGGTAGCAGTCCGAGAGTAGTTCTTCCAGAAATTCCGGCGAAACTTGTCAGAGAAAAAACGCACGAAATTGAACGAAAGACGAAGAAACACAGGAGAAAGGCCAGTGCGGACGACGCTAGTAGCGGCCATAGCGTAGTCCTTAGGACTAGCAGTGACAACGGACTTACCGTCGACGCAAAACACATCATGCCCTTGCCCAAGGTCACGGTACCACAAACCAAGATGGCGGCGCAAGGAGAGCGAAAATCGAGCGACAAAGGAACAGAGTACGAGGAACCGGCCTACATCGCCAAACTAAAAAGGCGCGAAAAGAGACGGAGGGAACTGTACGACCTTCTGAGATACCTGCCGCCTCTTTCCAAGGTCAGTCGAACGTACGCGGTCAATGTCATCTCCCTGGGGATAGACAAGGACAGCAAATTGGAGGGCGAAGGTGAAGGGTCAGAGGTAAGTTCGCCTGGAGACTCACCAAGGTACCCGCCATGCACCTGCTCACACCGCACGGTCGCACATCCGGGTACTAACAAAGTTTCAAAAAGTGTTTCTCCCAGAAGCCCCTTCCTGAACAAGATGGCGGACGACGCCGAAGATGACCGCATGAAAACGCGGCAGACGGTTTCGGAGAGAGCATCCAAGCGCACAAGAGAAGAGGAACTGTCGAAGCGAAAGGCTTTGGGGATGTTCAGGACCATTCAACTGTTTGAGAACAGAAAGCGGGGTCCAGTTGACAGGCGATACAGAAACATTTACCGTCTTGATCCGAGGTATCTCAGCAAACGGGCATCAAGAGAAAAGGGCGGTTAAAAAACACTGTGGAGAAAGGAAGAATATACTAGTACAGTGGATTCATCCCTCAAGCTAACCGACATCTTGCACACGCAGTCGTCCCTCAGTAAGACGCCTGGAGCCGCATAGTTCCCGTTTTAAAATTTCATTTTATTCAGCCTGTCACACTGAGTCACATACATATACTGTGGAAAAATGAAGACTTACGTAAAGATGTATCAAAGAAGCATCTGTCAGGACTTTTGGTGAGGGGAACAATCGACTGAAAAAAATGTTCTCTGCAGTCGATCATCAATGCATTGGAGACTTTCAGAATAGTTTCACATTTTGCAAATGTATGCAATGTATCGTTCGATTGAATTGCAATTTTATCTTGACTATGATCAGAAAACAGAGCTACATTTCTTAAGAGAAATTATCTGTAAAAAGATATTTGATATGTACAGGCTATTTAATTTGTGTATAAAACATTACGACGTAGTCGTAGACTAGCTTAAGCTTACAGTAAGTGGCCAATAATTATCATGATCTTAGATCAAAGTCAAACACAGATCGCACCAAAAGAAGCAAGGCTTAGTCTTATTGTAACCAAAATATCTCCACGTTTAAGTTTCAGTGTGTATTTTGTTTTACTTAATTGAACATCTTAAGTCAGTGTCTAAAGTCTATTTGTATCATACCTACAGCGTTCGGAAATACTTCATGTACATATTAACTGACTATTTGTATATATCTGCATTAAGCAATGAATGCCAATTACACTGAATAATGTTCTCAAGTTTTCAGTCTTCTGGGGAATTTCTTTTCCATTGTATGTTGCATACAAGCCATTGAAATGGTAGAATGATATCTAAATCCATCTTAGATTTCGAATCACAACCTATCTCTTCAATAGCAAGGACAGAAACTTGGAAATCTCCAAGCAGATCCTACGGTGGCAAGGCAGTATCCATTGGTCATCAGTAGCTATAGTTAATGGCCAGTCCTTGGCAAATGGATACTGACTTGCCACTGTAGGATCTGCTTGGAGATTAAGTACTTGGCAGGTATTAATAGGTTTGGATACCAGGCTGTGAAATAGTGGAAGAGGGACGGTTTTGTTTCGGCGTGTAAAGGATACAAAGAAGGCTTGGACAAGGAGAAGTAACAAAATACGTCCAAGGCAACCGAGTCATCAATCGTCTTAAAGCTGTGTTCAATAGCAGGCGATTGTAAACTTAGACCTTGTCTGTCAAGGACGTAGCCTGTCACCACCTAGCGACAAAAATGTTCTCCATAACAACACTTGTCACAAGCGGCCTCTAGTGGCTAAGAACAGTACTGCATAATGCTATGTCGGTGCAATTATGAAAAGTAACCGTCAGGGGTCGCCACTTGTCTCTTCAATAAGACTGTGCTTCACCGACATTCACCTTCCAACCACATGCTGAAATTAGACAAATGCCCGGAGCACTTAAAAACTACAGATTCATATACAGACAGTCCGAGTATGCCAAAAAAGGCTTTTTACGATGTCTTACTACAATAGTTTCATCAAATTAAGTTGTTTTCTGCACACACCACCTTGAAGTATGACGTCAGTTACAAAATGGACAATCGACTTTTCAGTTATTTTTAAAGTATGTAGTGTAAATGGCAATGTTCTACATTTCTTTCGGCATTTTCTACTTTTAGTGTGACTTTATTTTCACACACACCCTTCTTGTACATTGTCCTTACAATCCCATCCATGCGTGTCGCGGTTTGTGTATTTACGGAGTGCCTGTCGGCCGGGGTGCTAACAGGTGTTGTAACAGCGTGTTGTCTCAACCAAACGGACAAAAGCCGCGGTCGACTCTTACACGGGAGGCGAGAGGTCAAGCGTGCAGGTCAACTTCAAACGAGGCGATCAGAGAGAACAAACTTCCATACTTGTGTATAGCATTTCCAGTCCTAAATATAGCTAGCAGCACTTTGTATGAAGTCCAATGCCACCTTGTTTAGGGTAAAAAGACACACAGACAGACAGAAAATTTCACTGACGAAAGGTAGTGGATGCTTATAACTCTCCAAGCAGAGGTTGATGGGGGAAGATCGTTACCTTTCATATATGGCCCGTCTTTTTTGTGGCTACCCCTACAAACCAACGTTTGGGTGGCGTATTGGACCCCCTAGGCCCTCTGGCCAATTTGATACCCTAGGATCTGCTTGGATATTAGTGGATGCTACCTGAAACGTCTGACCGTTTCCAAAACCATAATTATCCAGTTGATTCAGTAACTGTTTGTTACTAAATTGGCGTACGAAATTAAAAAAAAAGACAAGAATTAAGTCACGTGGAATTTTGGGAGACTATAAGCATCATTGGTAGACTAAAATTTCATTTTAGGTAGTCTCTAACAAGAAAATATTTCGGTTGCCGAGTCGTAACCATGCAACGGACCAGACAGTATCCAATAGGCAAGACACTACTACTACAATATCCAAACTTTTAATCTCCAGTGGATCAACTGGACAACTTTGAACAACATTGGCGTCATAAAGTGACAATAATTGCACTGATTGGTGATCTGTTATTATGCTGATGACCCTGAAAGTACTAGTTTTATTACGCAGTGACCTTGAGCTCTGGCAGATTTATTGAAGGTCATTTAATTTGGAGACGTCATTGCACATACGTCATAAATCATATCGTGGCGGTGGTTTTGTCCTAGCGGTTACTTCTCACGAGAAATCACGAGACTAAGGAGAGTTCATTGAGTTATATTCATTCATTGACATGGCGAAATTTAAATCGGCGGCTATAATTTTACTGGAGGAATTTTCCTGCTGTCGTGCGTTGCCTGGGCAACGGTGTGATCCGTGAGAAATTACCGGCAAATTAGTAATGGTTTCAAAAGTCCGTGATTATTCATAGACAAAATTCATTCTTAAATAATCACTATCGTATGAGCCATTCTGTTTTTACTGCAAATAGTTCATTTTATTTCTGTTCACCTTCTTTCTCTTGCTTTTAATTGGTTGTTTCCTGGTGTCAAAATTTTAAATCTTAAATTTAAGTGATTTAAAAAACAAAAGGACTTCCCATGGAAAGCATACAGACATACACGACTGTCCCTCGGGTGAAAGCTTCTCCTGTTGCCAGGCAACCGTTGCCGGGGAAACGGCCTTACTCGACGATAACCCCTGACAATTAATAACCCCAAAATGGCGGTGAAAACGGCTCCATATCAGTAGTTAAGATAAAAGTTCCCCCTCAGCGACCAGAGTTGATAACAGAGATATGGTACAGCTGAGCAAACACTGGTAAGGTTAATAGGTCCACGGAAAAATGTGTCTAAGTATCTATAATTGCGTCTACCTGTTTGTTTTTTTCCGTTTGAATCAATCGTGAGTTCAAAGAAAGTTTACAGCTACATTGCTTCTGTTACTACATGTAAGATGATTATGACTTCGCCAGATTTTCTTTCTTTGCTCAAAAACATTGTTGAAGTTTGAAAGGTAATACATGGATGTTGTAGTATGTTTTTCTACGTTTTTCAAGAATCAATTTCCAAAATATGTTACTTTTGCTAAGCTAAGGCTATTAAGACTGAAATATTCCAAGAGTAAGCTTAAACCCATGTGAGGTTGTACAATCAAAACTGTTCAATCCATAATAGTTCACGTGTTAGCTGTTTCTGCGGTCAAAGACACTCTGAGGTGACCGCAAGCAAATTAAAAAGACGACTTGAAAATGTCACCTGTCAGTCGCAAGTGTCAAGTAGTCAATACAACAATGCCGAAGACATCTAGAGAGAACAATACACGAACTTAACACACGGAAGCGTTAACAAAAGAGGGTCTAAATTTAGCATGGTTATTAATGTGCTATAATTAGGGTTGGGAACGACTTCATAAAGAATTGCGGATGTGCCAAGGCGTTTGACACTGACAGCAAACACAGCTGAAATTTCTACATTTAATTAAGTTTTTTTTAAATTAAACCGAAGACGTAGTGCACGTTTCATGATATTGAAACAAAATCTAGGAAAAAATCATACCTTACTAATCATACCTTATAACTCACAGCCTATGTAAAATAATCTAAAATATTTTGAAATAGTCGATGTATTTCCAAATATCTTTTTCATTGGAGAATACATGTATATCCGTCATAAAATGTTTGAAACATGGAAGTGGTAAAAGTTTAACTCGTGACAAAATTCAAAAACCGCGTACAGCGACCTGTAACACGGTTTCCTAGAAAGCCCTCTTGTATATTTTCCATATTTTTGTTCCGAAAACTCCTTTGTAAAAAATACATCCAAGTAACCCCACAGGTGTGCCTATTGTTCAGCCCATACAGGTGAGAACACAACTTGAACAATACATGAATAGAGTCAACAGACCCGTATCTCAGCTCATAGAAACCTGTGGAGACGTACTTCAGTAGAAACAGGTGTTGGCTACTAGCATGTAGATAATCACTCTTAACAACCGGTGGAAATTCAAACAGCTAACATCGAGGAGAAAAGGAAAGTATGAAAACATTCCATTAAGGCACTGAAACGTCGACTACAAACAACCGGTTCTCTGTCTATTTGTTATAATCAATTCGATATAAAACTCTTTTTAGTTTGACACATCAGATTTGAATGCATGAGGCGGTGGCCGGTTGTATCACATACCACAAAGTAGGGTCCATACTGGACAGAGGGGGCAAGTAGACATGTTATGTTGTTCCATGGTCTAAAAAAAGAGAAGTCAAACTTTAGACAACTACCTTTTCTCATGTAGATTTAAGTTATTTTATACTCTGTTTCATTGTTTTTTTAAATGTTTGTTATTTGCAATTAGCCCCCGGGCAAGAACTTGCAATAAACTTCATTAAAGTTATTTCTCGACTTTTCCAAAGCATTTGATTTTGTTTCTCATGCCCTCTTGACCCACAAGCTACAAATATTTGGCTTTGGTGAAAATCTTCTTGCTTGGTTTAATTGGTCTGATTCGGTGGCAACTAGACACTCCTCTGGCCAATGGATACTGCCTTGCTACCGTATGATCTGCTTGGAGGTTATTGTTCAACCAGGTTGACATAGTGCTTCCAGAAGTTGCTGAGAGAGAATAAATCAGAAGGAATTACAAGTTTTATGAAACCATTGTTTGAGCTGAGGAGGCGTGAGACAAAAGAGTGAGTTAATATTATAGTGGGGTAGCGTAGCGGCAGAGTGCTCGACTCGGAACCAAAAGGTCCCGGGTTCGAGTCCTGACATGCCAACGATCTTGTGCCATTTGGAAAGGCACTTAACACGACTTTCCTCACTTCGCTCAGGCGAAAATGAGTATTGTATTGCCCCGTGTTGGTGACGGCATTAATATAAGTTGAAAAAAATGAGGGTGCCGTCACCACGTCTTGTGATTATATGTTGGAATATAAAAGCGTAGTTAGTGCGATAGGGACTAGACTTGGAAGGTTTTGCCCCATGCCAGACTCTGTATTGAGCGGCCCGGGGGCAGGCTGTGTTTGTAGAGTTAATATGTACTCAAGGCAGGTTAGCGCTGGTACGGCGGTATGTTGACTCAATACTACTTGTAGTAAGGGACCATCCGCTAACTTTCTAGAGGGGTTGGAAAAAACACCGTGATTTACTTTCGTGTGTTCGTTTTTTGATAAATGATAATGATATGAATCTTTATTGCATGTTCTTGCCCAGATGGGCTAAATGCACAAATCTGACCAAGTGTGGTCGAGAGGATAAAAAACATGAGTATCGCATATTGAACGCTATATTCTCATGCTATATTCTAATTCAAAGTGCTAGGAGTCTAAATATTACAACAATACTATATACTACCTATATTTAGATTTGATGGTATTTCTTTTACCATTTTCTATCTCACATTAATTTTCTACTCGCTGCGACGGTGTTCGACATTCAGTGATGTCAAAATTTTGAAATCAAACTTCTGGCAGTAATAGAAATCGGTCGGTAAAAGATAAGTATTAACTGAATATAACTGATTAATTATAAGCTACAGTAAAGAATACAAACCGTTAATGTGCGTGTTATTCGTCTGTTATTTCATGATAAGAGATTGTATTGATTTGATTGACCCGTTCTTCTATATTTGCTTGCTTTACAAACTTGTGACTCAAAGGTTCAGTCGAAAGGTGGCGGAAAAGCAGCCAAGCGTCATAACTGTCAAATGCAAGATGAAATGATAAACATTTCAACGTAAAGAAAAAAAATCACCGGATAAAGATTTGACGAAAAAAATAATAAAAGCATAAATGCTTGATAACTATTAAGAACATTAACTGGCGCTGTCTTTGCCTTGAAATGGTCAGAAATTGTGGTTATGGTTCATATCAACCCTATCTGGGATAGGACAGAAAAATCAGTTATTCAATCAGTCAACCAATCAATTAGTCAATTAAACTTACCACAACAAAGTACAAGATACAAACAGGTACTCCATATCAATTAACACCGACAATCTGGAAGTGTTTACTCGGATTAAGATAAAACAACCAGCAATGGATACAGCTTTGGTCTGTTGTACTTTCTGAAACAACAAGGATTTTATCGTACATATACAGAAATTTCCATGTACGTAAACAGTAAAATACCCACCCCAGCACACGCACGCATTATTTCTTTTTTTTTTGCAATTTTTTTATTCAGTTATTTTTGTGGAATATTTATATGCCTAAAATGTACAATTCAGCGTCTATGTAGAAATGACGCTGCCATGTATTTTAATGTATCATGTACGAAGTCATTAAACACAATATATTATTAAAGGTGCTACGAGTGCTTGGGCCAGACGTGAAAATATACTGTTTTACTAAGCTTAGAATGTTACAATCTGCAACTTTACAGTCCTGCCTCTTGTTCTTCAGTTCTATTTTTTGCCCCATACAATTCGACGATATACCCCCCCCCCCCCTTCACATAGTAACTACAGTCAGTATTTTGACCAGACTTAGTCGCAAAAACAACTGTTTCGGCTCCACCTCCTAAGCACACTTAAAGTAAGTCTAAGTAATGTTTTTATCTTCTTAAGTAATGAAAGGGATAGACTTAAGACAGAATTAGGCCACGAAGAGCCCCCAGGGCCTTTCAGTTTACTCTGCTGATTGACTTGTTGCCTTCTTAAGGGGTCCTTATTGCAATTACCTGTTCTTAAGTCTCGGATTAAGAACTTTTGTGTCTTAAGTAGCGAAACCTACCTGCCGACTGTGACATACTAAGACGAAAATCCCTTAAGAAAGGGGGCGTTTCAAAGATCCATACAACTCCAGTCGACAATAATTCTTCTGAACTATATCAATTCATACTTTTATATAGATAAGTCACAAGATTAGCAGGTATATATTTATGATAGATGTATATCAATTTTAAGATGTGTAACGCTAAAATGTATTTGTACGTTTAGACTTTTTTTCTATTCCAACATTTATAACAAGTTATGGCGACGGCTTTTTGTATGCCAACAACGCAGAAAAACTCATGAACGGACAACAGACATACTCATTTCCACTTGAGTTAAGTGAGGAAATTCGTGTGAAGTGCCTTTCCCAATGGCACAAGATCGGTGTGGTGCCAGGATTCAAACTCGGAACTTGTTGGTTCTGAGCCGAACATAATCTCCAAGCAGATCCCTTTCGGTGGCAAGACAGTATCCATTAGCCAGAGAAGGTCGCCGGCCACCGACGGGGTTAGTGACAAAAAAACGGGCCATATATAAAAAGCTAACGATCTTCCCCCATCAACCTCTGCTTGGAGAGTAACACGTTTGGACTTTGTATGTGATTGTGGAAGTTTGATAAGACGGAGAAGAAGAAGTACATGGACGGTCCCTGATTTCTCCAAGACGCGTGTTGTTGCTAAGATACCGGCCTTAGGGCTGCCGCCCAGTCCCGTCAGCAGACCGGCCCCATTGTCGCACCCGGACCCTAAATTCCCGTGTTTTGTCCCCGCTTGACGGCAAACACACAATACGGTCTCCACTGGCGGAACGTATGTACGTAGTAGTCTCTACCAGACTAACTACGCTGGCTATACATAGGAGTATATTTGCCAGGCCGCCTTGGGGTTTGACTGGCCGCGCAGTTCGGAGGGAAAGAACCAACCTTCCGCGGTTGGACTTTCCTGACCAATTTTACTCTCCTTTACCCGAATTCTACGATCCGTACTCCCGTATAAAGGCCTGGTGGAGGCTAGGCGGGGACGTACGTTCGGACATGTTTCTCCCTCTCCGCGCCAGCTAGCACCGCCGGAATGTTGCGTTTGGACTTTGTCTCGCCGCCTTGCTCTGTGTTTTTATGACAAAGTAGGTCTTAATTCCACTACAAATGACCGGGCCAATGGCGGGTGCGACGACGGGAGGTGCCGGTATTGTTCCTCGGTATGAGGACGGCTCAAGCACGGGAGAGGCCCTCTTGTGGGATTGTGAGGACGAGTGGAGTGGAGAGTTACCGGTTCGATTCCCGATTCTCGCGGTCACACGTCAGCAACTCGCCATGGGCGACCAGCGGCGGGTTCCCTTTGAAGACCCGGCAACCGACTCCAGGCAGCAGGTTCACGGTCAAGACATTTCAGGGGGAGAATTCGAAGGAGCGGCGGCGAAAGGGGCCGTCTTACGGGTCGAGCCGCCTACCGCGGTGGAGCTAAGACACTCGTCGGTTACAGAAAGCAGTACCCCCCGACCAACTCGCCCTACGCCGCCCGGTGGCAAGCTGTTATCACAAGCCGCAAGCGTGGACCTAACCAAAGAAGCGTCAACCTCGTCTCAGGAAGGAGAGAGACTCTTGAGTTTCCCCAAGCAGGACATCACAAAGGAAGAGTCTTACGAGGAAGACCCGGACAGACTCAATCTTAAGAGTATCCTTAGAATGCTAGAGAAGCCGAGCGACATGGAAGGTTACGGTTACAAACACAGGTGGCACATGGATACGTCGTGTGACGTGTTTCGCGCCAGGCAGCCTTTTTCAGCCGTGCAAATCGGTTTTAAGAAGACGATGACAGGTAGAAACCAGGCCAGGGTTACCGTGGGGCCGTCGGGTTATTTTCTCGGGCAGAGGCCGCGCACCATGCCGATGGATTCTCTCCAGCGTACGGCGTTTCGCCCTCTGGAAGTCCTGCGTCCCGTGTCGGTCTCAAAGTCTTTCGACGACCGAGGCCGGCGGCCCTCCGCCCCTCCCCCTACCAGAGATTCACACACACAAACTCAGCGGGGACACTTCAACTTCAGAAATCTTGAACTTCAGAGCCCTTTAAGAGTTTCCCCGCTGCACGAACGTTCTCGTTCTTTTCAAGCCTCACCCAGGAAACTCAAACCGGTGGTGAAACCTTCCACGGCGAGGAGTTGGGACGGTTCGTACGATCGGACGGTTTCACCGACGTACTGCACGGATATTCTTCGGGCCACCCCGCTAGCCAGCCCGAGAGACTCCGCTAAAGCCCTCGCTATCCACAGCCTTTCTCGTAAATCCAGGAGGAACGGACAGAAAGAGGAAGCAGACGTTTGGACGTCGCCTAGTCCTGTGGACAGGACAGACTTTAGCGACGGAAGTGACGCGAAACAGTCTGAAATATTGAGAGTACCGCAGCACGTAATAGAGACCGAAGAGAAACACGTCAAGTTTAACATGAGGAAGGGAAAGTTGACGAGGGAAGACACCTTTCTTTCCGACATGGAGCCGAGATACGTGGACTACACCTTGAGACAGCAGAACAAAATGTCGCGGGAGATGTCAAAACTCTTGAAGAAGTCGCACAATCCGACCAGACCCCCCGCGAACACACCTGTTCCTGTCACACCTGAGTATTAAGGAGTCTTGACTCGTGGAAATGTCTTTAATAGCCCAAGGTATAGTACAACACACTGGTCACTTTCTCTGAGACTCTATTGGTATAATATAAGAGCACCATGTTAAAGGTGTTATATTCTGTCTGTATCTAAAGAAAATAATTTATGATGTGACGATGTCTTTAAAAAACTAGGCCACCTTCAAAACGAACCTGTTACATGTCAATTTGTAACAAACACAAACCAGTTGTTGTCGTTCTTTATACATGTACTATGCATCTATTGTGTTAAAATGCTTTGATACTAGCTGGACAGTATTCTCATAGAGAACGATGCCCCAGTTTCGATGTTCAGAAGAATGGAGAACAATTCTAAGAGCATTCCTCATACTTGTAAACCTAGCGACAAGAAAAAAAGTACGATCCAAACGAGTATTTTTGATGAAGTATGTGTTGTAATACGTTTCATTGAAGACATCAGTTTTATTTGTGTCCAAAATACAATGTTATATTTCAAGACCACTTCATAATATATACAAAACAATGCAGGATGAATGGTCTGGATACATTATTGCAGTCTTGTCGGTAGAAAGCCTCACTCTTAAAGCCTGGATTCTGAGATTATATAATATATGAAGTTCAACAACTTATTTCTGATTCACTGAACCCCGTGTCATTCACGTAAAAGACGTACTCAGTATCCAAAGAATGTAAAATTGCTGCAATTTACAATTTTATAGCCCAATAAAGTAATTTCCAAAGGTTATCCTTACAAACGAGCCAGGGCTAATAAGGTCATTAGATTATCAGACAATTAAATGCGGTGACTGTTTATGACTTTGACATTTAAGCTTGTTTACGTTATTTATAAAATCAAACAGCAATTTGAACAGTCATTACAGGTAATAATGGGTCCAGGCAATCATGTCAGGAAGGAAGTTTTTAACGCTTGTAACAGGAGGAGGTCCTTTGAGCGTTCTGCTTTGCTCAAATAGTGAATTAACCCGTTACTGAATAACCGTAACCTCCGCCAGGCCTTCCTATGGGGTTATGGAGAGTAGCACTCGGTAAAAGTGGGGTATATAATCGGCCAGAATAGTGAGCGGCCTTGGTGCAGGCTTTTTTGAACTGCCGATTTTATGTGGCATATTTTACACAGATTCGATACCAGGTTGCCAGGGACGACGCTGTAACGCGTACAGAAGTTGCCGGGCAACCGATACAGTTTAGAAAAGCGTTTTTATTCATGGTCAGAAACAGGCTTTGCCTATGACTTAGGACACTGCAATCTTCTACTCTCCAAGCAGAGGATTGGGTTTTGGCTTTTTTGGGTTGGTGTAAAAAAAAAAAGATACCGAAGCAAAAAAGAAAGCCCCCTAAAGGGGTAAAAACACGCCAAAAATAAGTCAAAAGCTAACCCCAGTTTGGAGAGTAGCAATCTTACAACCAGCTGGGTGCAAAGTTATGGATAATCATCCATAGAGGTTTGCAATCTGCAAAATTCAGTTCGTGATTAAAAGTCAGTCCAAAGTTAACTTTACTTTTACTTTATTGGAGACTAACAACATATCAGTGCACGGGTCAACAAGGCAGTCGAAACTGGTAGTAGATGACCCCAGAGTTAAGTAGATGAAATAGGAAGATCCTGGAACCTTGGGCGGCGACATAAAAATGCCATAATAGGAGACAATGGGTTCTTCTTCTCTACTCGTCCCTGTCCTCCATCTGTGAGCGGAGTTCTGCTGCGGTGATGTTTCTGAGCCCAGCATCCCGCTTCAGGGCGTCAATGATTTTTGTTCTATTCACATATATTTATTGAGTATTGGGCAAAATGCCCAAGTTGGTTATGTAACACCTTCTACTCAAAACATACGAGTGCAAAACACATTGACAAAATACATGCATAATTACAAGGTGGGTAAATCCAAGATAAATACAAACAAGACAAGTTGGTGATCTATCAATTACGATAATCTACCCGTACAGTAAATGAAGTTTTGTCAACGATTGAAGATCATCTCTCAAATAAAACGTGTTATTGTGAGTTTCCTATGTTTACATGTAAGCTCTCCAAACCTGGTCTGACTCTGCGGCTATCTGGTGTAGCGCCGAACTGTCACGTTAAGTTTGTTCCACTACCTGCAGACATGTTGCACAAACACCTCTGACCTCAGGCGTCACTTCAAGTGTTTTCACAGCCAATCCGCTTATATGTATGGGTTGTTGTATCACAGCAAACCCGCATATATGTATGGGTTGTTGTATCACAGCAAACCCGCATATATGTACGGTTTGTTGTATCGCAGCAAACCCGCATATATGTATGGGTTGTTGTATCACAGCAAACCCGCATATATGTATGGTTTGTTGTATGTGAAAACAAAAACAAGCATTTCACAGCCTCCCGACTGAATTACAGGCTCTTTTACAGGTACTCAAAATCACAATTCTTAATTACACTGAAATTAATCTGAATTACAATCAAAATCTAAGAGCAATTAAATTTTAAAGCAAGTCCTACGTCCTGCACATTAGATTTTTTTTCAATTCATTAAGGTGTTTGACAAAGTAGGGCATAGGTATTGGTAAAAATGAAGTCTTACCTCTCTTCCCGCTTGCGGCAACTTGTCATGATTAGTCAGAGTGTTATACCATAATAAATCATAAATGGACGCAAATACTAAACCTTTGAGAGTAACTTTCTATTATATTTACGTTCTAATATCAGTAAGGCGTTAAACGTTAATTTTTCTTCTCCGTAAACACAAAATAACACATACTTTAGTTCCAAATCCGTGCCAGGCGATAGAACCAATCAACACACTGCAATTGCATGATTGACAGATAGTTTCCCGCCGTAAGGATGAAGTCTTACCTCTTTATCCACAGTATCAGGTTACAAGTCTTCCCGCCGGCGAGAGTCTACGCTCATCATTACTATGACATTAGGAAGTCAGAGCGTTAAACCATCATATATTGCCGTAAATACTAAACATTTGAGAGAAAATGTCTGTTACATTTACGTTCTGATATGAGTACGAAGTTTAATGTTAATTTTCTTCTTCAGAAAGAGAAAATGCCACAGACTTTAGTTCTAAATCAGTACGAGCCAATAGAACCAATCAGCATAATGCAATTGCATGATTGACAGATAGTTTCCATTCCGTAAGAATGAAGTCTTACCTCTCTTCCCGCTCCTGGCAACTTGCCGTTATCATTAGGAAGTCAAAGCGTTAAACCATAATAAATGGCCATAAATACTAAACCTGTGAGAGTAAATGTCTATTTTATCTTCGTTCTAATATCAGTACGGTATTTAATGTTAATATTTCTTCTACACAAACACAAAACAACACAGACTTTAGTTCTAAATCCGGCGAGGCAATAGAACCAATCAGCACACTGCAATTAAAAGATTGACAGATGGTTTCCCGCCGTAAAAATGAAGTCTTACCTCTATATCCACGGTATCAGGTTGCAAGTCTTCCCGCTTGCGCAAATCTATGCTCATCATCAGTAAGTCTGACCGTCAAAACATTTGAAACGTCCGAAAATACCGAAGGTGTGAGAGTAAATGTCTATTATATTTACGTCCTTATACGAGTACGGAGACTAGTATAATTTTTTCTTCTCTGAAAAGAGAATTTGTAACAGTCTTCAGTTCTAAACTAGTGCAAAGCAAAGTAACCAATCAGCACGCTGGATTAGGATGATTGGCAGGTCATTTCCCGCCTTACGAATATCAATGTAAACAACTTTGCCCGCGAATGAGAGAACCAATCAGCATAGTTTCTACGGATGATTGACACATAGCTGCTTGTTTGCATCTTTGTGGAGTTTGTGAGCGGACGGAGGGAAAGATATAACATGCAGGGAAAAAAGGTAAATTTCAACTTATGGAAGAGTAGCCTTCGCACGATCTAATGCTAGAACGACTAACATTTTCCTTGATAATTTCCAGGTGCCTATGCCTACCAAAGCTGCCGAGACCACCACCGTGACCGTGGAACTTCCCGTCATCAACCCAAAGCCTCTTGAGTATAGAAACAGCACAGAATCAGGCCTTGGTTCACTACGTGAAGTTGTTTTTACGACTCTCACCTGTTCTATTAGCGCTCTTCACACGCAAAGCTTTGCGTCAACAGCGTACTAGAAAGTCCTTAGCGATACTAATCCGGCAGAAAACGGAGGTATTCAGGAGTTAGATACTTGCACTTGGCAATGGTAATAATGAAAAGCCTGTCCCGGATTCTGCTGTTGTTGTGTTCCTTTTCGTAAGGACATTAATTATGTACAGAATTCTAAACAGTTATTGTCAAATTGTGCCAAGAAAGTTGTTTTTCATATTATTTTATGCCCTTGAGCGCAATACTATGTCATTTTCTTCAGTCTTAAAGACAAGTTGGACAAGTTGATTTTTCTGTTCTGAAAAGGACATCCTTCATAGCACAAATAGGACTTATTAGATCTTAAGCTAAAGCCCAAACTCAACGTCTTAGCTACTGTTGAGCCAGTAGCAATATTGTACATGTACTTGAGCACGCCAATTTCTACACGTTTAAAGCTGCATTTTAGTTAATCTATGCTCTAAACAGTTTTGTTCCTATCTGCAATGTTTGTTGATAAGATGTAGTCACAATGCGCCTTTTTAAATCTTAATACAAAACACAAACTTGCTCAATGTCTTACCTACTGTTAAGTCAGTAGCAATAACTTACACGCCAATTTCTACACGTTCAAAGCTACGTTTTAGTTAATTTACGCTCAAAGCACTTTTTTTCCTGTCTGCAATGTTTGTCGATAAGATGTATTCACAATGCGTGTTTTGAATGTTAATACAAAACCCAAACTTGCTCAACGCCTTAGCTACCGCCAATTCCTGAACTAAATTTCTCAGACGACACCAACGCCACGATTGGCGGGAAAACAACGCCAAGTCCTTAGCAACAACCTTTGACCCGTCTCCGGGCGCCATTTTGTGTTCATTAACAGCTCGTATATCTGGTGGTTTTACAGCGCAGAGTGGCACGTTTGGGATAAACACGCTATTAAAGGCACCTCAACTTGGACTGATTGTACAC